TATAAGCACCAAAGTTACACTGCATATATATTATTTTTCATCAGGAGGAGTTGAAGCATTGGTAAGTTTACTTGATTCAAAAGTAGAACACGTCCTGGTAAACACAGTCAACGCCCTTCGCGTTTTAGTTGAAGCAAACATGGAAAACCAGACTAAAGTTGCTAACAGCGATGCAGTATCTGTACTAATAGATCTACTGGGTAAGTGTGTCTATCTTTTGRAGTTTTTAACACTGGAATGATTTTGGTAACTTTTAGTCTTAAGAGATTTCTAAAAATCTAAATAAACTGTAAATGAATCGTGTATTTGCTCTTTTACAAGGTACTTACTCCAAGAAGCTTCAAGCCAACACGGCTGCTTGCCTGTCTGCATTAGTCAAGCACCACCTTGACAATCAAAATATCGTCATTGCGAAAGGTGCTGTTCAACCACTAGTCAAGCAGCTTCGTAACACCAGCTCATTGTGTCAAGTGAAAGCTGCCAGTGCTTTAGAGTCATTGGCTGAGGACAATCCTGAAGCGCAAGGGATTATTGATCAAGCTGATGCAGCCAAGCCTTTGATAAGACTGCTGAAGGTCTGGTCTATTGAGGTCAAAGAGCAAGGTTGGTATGGAACGTTGGTCCATATTAGTTTTCGCGCGACGAAGTAAACATTGTACGAGATTTATTTAGCCGTTTTGTGAAGTTTRACAATCAGCAAGATCAGTATTAATCATCATCGACATCATCATATTCATTTTAAAWTGTAATTTATTTTCTCTATACAGCTGCCGGTGCATTGTGGGCACTAGCAGGGTCAAAGCACCATCAACAGCAGGTCATAGCCAGTCTTATTGGTGTCAATGTGTTAGTGGATATGTTGATGCTCAAGTCAGAAGTGCTACAGTATATTTCAGGAATGGCGATCATTGCACTCGGAACGGAAAACATCGAAAATCAGAACAAAATCGTTGCTGGTGGCGGTGTGCAGCCATTAGTGAGATTACTGAGATCTGGAAAAACCTCAGAAAAGGTAATTTAAGCCAGATTTCATTGCATTGTCTTCCCTTGCGCCAACAAATTCAGCAAGTTCATGACCAACAACCTTTTGTGCMCTTTATAACGACTGAATCATCGACTTGTTACGCGGTCTTTTAATTTGTAARTGAATTAATTTTTCAGCGTATATTAAAATGATAATGTCAAGCTCAGCAACAAACACACTATAAGCAAGCAACAAATACCTAAGACAAAAAAACAAACAAAAAAGCAAACAGGAAAATCAACAGCTTTGCGCACACTACGTACTCATCTTTTTCGCATTGTATTCATTATTTCTTGACCAGTTTTTTTAAAATGTTTTTAAGGTTCTTTTGATGGTAATTCGTGTGTTGGGAATACTTTGTGTTGGACCTGCACATCAGTCCAACAAGTCAACACAGATGGAAATCGCTAATGCAGAAGCCTTGATAACACTCGTTAAGTTACTCAGAAATTCCAAAGTTTCTCTTGTTCAGGTAAGTCACTGTGTAACTGAATAAACTAGCTTGGAATGATAAAACAGAATTCGTTTACTTACTTGAAATAACAGTGGACCATGTTGAAAGCGCTTTGCGTGTGAGATTCGATTTCAAATTTGGACCTTTATGACGTCAAAGTGGTTGTCCGCGCGCATTCGGCAAATCTTCGGTTTTCGAGCGGTTATCGATTTCTTTAGCGCTCGCGCTAGCTCATGAAAAATTAGAATCTAAATCAAAAGTAGATCATTTTCAGTCATTTATTTTCTTTTACAGGTTGAAACTGCAATTTGTATTGCTAAAATTGTTTTGAACAACAACCAAACACAAAAGATTTTATCGGAGCAGACCAAGTTCACAGTGGTTGACATCATGCACTTACTGAAGGACACTGACCAAGAAGTTAGGCTCAAAGCGGGAATGGCGCTCTCCACATTTGGATACAATAACACTGGTCAGCAGTATGCTATCAAAAAGGCTGGAGGATTACTTCTGAGTTCATTTGAAGAATTCTTATCATCAGACGAAAACTTGCACCAGGCACACGCGGCCTTTCAGATCATTATCCTTGCGCGTGTGATAGGAGACTGTGACCAAGTGACGTTGACAGCACGTGGGGTTGAGATGCTGGTGTCGTTGCTTCGTTCAGAAGACGACGCGACGAAAGTGTTGGCCGCAAGTCTGACGGCAAGTCTTGGTCATTCTCGTGCAGGGATTCCTGACGCCCTCATTACAGCAGGTAGGTGATTTTAGATGTTAGCGCAAACACTTCAAATGTTTTAATATTTTCCGCATTAATTGATCAACAATTAACTCAATTTATCAAGAACTATCATGCGAAGAGTTTTTTTACGTTTATAGGTGCTGTAGAATCGTTGCTAAAAAGCTTGTTTTCCGAAAACGATCGAGTTCGTATCAGTGCAGCTGTTGCCCTGGGGTATCTGTCGTTTAATCGTACGGCAGAACGAATGATGCTGGTATCGTGTCGCAATACACCAGGGCTGTTTGATGCTCTAATATCAAATCTAGGCGGTGGAAAAGTTGCCATGGTATTTATTGATGATTGGAAAGAGACCAAGTCTGTTGGACTTCCATCAGAAAGGTAAGCGCAGGATAAATAGATGTTTTTTTAATGTCGCGCAAAATTGAGACATCACTAGGAAAAACTARCAAAAGACCCACCGTATTTSCGCAGACAATTATCTTTAACAAACCGCTGTTCAAAAACGCGTCACTAAACCCAACCATCAACTGTTCATTGGTGATTGKGAAGCAGCATGGGTRATMTTTCTTTTGTCGCTCTAAGAATAAGCAACTGGAGATTACCTGTGCCTTGATCCCCGAGGTTGATTGAGAAGCGATCGTCCAGACCATAGAATTCAACTCTTACCATCCAGAGACGAGTGCGGTCGTCCCAATTTCATTTTGTCTAACTGCCTTTTTCTGTATTAAATTTAGTCTTGAGATCAACGGAGGACCACCAGTTCCAACAAAGCTTCCACATGGGGAGGGTAAGTGAATCTCACTTGAACTTCAAGCAAAACTAAACATGATAATAGTCTTCTTCACGGTTACCTTCGCCATCTTGAACGGTAGCCGTGCCTTTGCATCAAAGCGAGACAACCGTTGAGCGTGCAAAGATAGAAACCTGTGAATAATTGTCTGTAGGTGTGAAAGAAGGTTTCTATCATTGCACGCTCAACGGTTGTCTCGCTTCGATGCAAAGGCGCGGCTACCTTTCAAGATGGCGCAGGTAACCGCGAAGGAGACTATTTCAGTGACGAAGTGACTTATCGGCACATATTCTTTCAAACA